AGTGTATTTACCATTTAATGGCTCAGACAGAGCGAGGATGCAAGACCCCTGATCTCAGTTAGCTGATGGCTGAACCCCCTAACTCTGACTGACCTCGGGCTGCAAGGCCCAGATTGAGTTCCCCATCCTTCTGAATGGTTGAACTCTGCAATGTTCTATTACAGGTTTCCCACGCCCTTTCTTTAAAGATGTTCAAAGTTGGGAACTCAGAAAAATACCCTTAATGACCACCTCTGTCTTTGCAGAGTGGGTCCAAAGACTGGCACAGTCAGGAGGTCTGAGAGTGCGGGGGTGGTTATGGGGGGTCAGGGGTGCCCCCGCGGCTACCTTCCCGGCATTTGAGTGATGGCGGCTGGGTCGGGAGCAGGTGTGGCTCTCGTAATATTATGGCTTGATAAAACTTTTTTGTATCCTCTGTGTTTTATTAAAATATTTTCCTCATAACTTGCTAAATTGATTTTGTAACCTACTACTAATAGGATGTAAACTGTAATTTTTTTTCCTCATTGAGTTTATTGGTATGTTTTAGGTATACAGTACAGTAACATTCATCATTGGGTTTATAAAACATTTAGAAAAGAGAAACTCAGTTGTAGAATGCTTGCCAAGTATGCTGAAGGCCCTGGGTTCAATTGCGTGTGGGGGGAGTGTGGGGCGGGGAGAGAGAGAGGGAGGGAGGGAGAGGGAGAGAGAAATACTGGGCTGATTGGTTGTGCCATTGTGGTCCAATTAGTTTAGCTGGAGAGATGGGGTCTTGTGAAAAAAACATGGTACCTGTGGCCACTCTTTATGTGGAAGAGGCTAGTTCTGAGTAGAAACATGGGTTGTGGTCTGGGAGACATCATGAAAGTTACGTCCAGCAGTTCCCACTGTCCTTGGGACTAATTTACTACCATCTGCTCCACCTGAGTGAATTGGAAAGGAGGAAAACATTGGTCACTGGCTGAAAATATTCTTATGCCACATGTAAGTGGATTCGCTCATGCCTAAAAATTCCTCCAGGGGCTGAGGTGTAGCACAGTGGCAGAGTGCGTGTCTAGTATGTCTGAGGCCCTGGATCAATCCCTGCCCCTGTCTCAAAAAAAGAAAAATCCTTCCAATGAGTTGTCCTTCAGAAGCAGCTCATGTAGAATTCTGCCCCAATGTGTAGATTTGCTTCTGCTCATGGGCCGGTCACTGGGTAGCTGGACGTACTCTGTGGGGGGCTCCTGCAGGCACCCACATACCTCCTCTCTGCCTCTGCGGAGAGAGACCGCATTCCTTCACCTGATGCACCCCATTGAGTTCTCTGCTGAGTGGCAGATACTTGGGGGCTGTGGCCTCTGCTCCCTGATTGCCTTGCTCCCTTCCCAGCCACCAGGCACCCTTGACATGAAGGTAGTCAGCTGTGTAACTCCTGGAGGCGTCCCTGAGGCATGCAGCTGTGAAGATGGGGTCTGGCCCCACCTTACATTTCATTGCATTGCCTTCCCGAGACTTTGCAACCCCCTCAGGGAGCCAGCACCATTGATTTCTGCATTTGAGAGCTGAGAAAATACAGATTTGGAGACATTAGGAAACTGTTCAAAGTCATCAGCAAATAAGTCCTGGAGTTGGGATTTGAGTCCAAGTTTGTACTTCATTTAGTTCAGGGTGGAGCTGGGTGGATCTCAACATCTCCCTCCCTTTCTCCCTGCTTTCCTGATCTTTTTTCTTGATGGGTCACAGGGACCATGAGCACAGAGTCCTTGGGCACAGCGTACACATCTGTTTCACAGCAGTGGCCTCCTAGGGTTCATCTTCCTGTGGCAAGTGCAAGTTCAGAGGAGCCTGCGATGGCTCCCAAGGCCAGGACTTACTTAACTGCAGTGGGGGCATGGAGCCACATGGGGACCTGGAAAGGGAAGGAGGTGGCAGTCCCATGTAGGAGAAAGAGACTTTGAAGTGTGGGCTGGCAGGCCCAGTCATAGCTTCAGGCTAATGACTGGGCAAATTGTTAGCCTCTCTGGGTCTCAGTTTTACCAATTCTGGAATGTGAAGGTTAGACTCAGGAACAACCTGCTTTCCTCTAGCTTTAGTATTCTAGTTTACGTGCATGGCTTATTTCCTTTCTCCAGGACCTTGGCGATGGTGGGTTCTCACCGCTGAGTAAGTGAGAGCATGTGTGTACAAAGTCTTTGAGATCAGTGGTTCTGCATACCCCGTCTCTGTCTCCCCAAGACCCAACAGTGCTGGAACAAAGTGGATACTCAATCTGTATTTGCTGAGGGAATCAATTGTGGGCCATCAAGCTCAGCCCACCCCATGCTGGTGGAGAGGTGGAGGGAAAGAGGCAGAGACAGGTGGAAGGGTGGAGGGAGAGAGGCAGGCCCAACACATGGGCCTTCCCCTTTCTGCAGCCTGTGCTGGGGCTGGCCTGTCTGCAGGAATTGAGTCATCATCAGACTAAGCTTTCCCCAGAGGACAGCCCAGGCTGGCAGGACCGGGTGTCCAGGGTTTTCTTGTGGATGTGCCTGGAGTAGCATCCAGAGGATGAGGACCTGAGCTGCGATTCTCAGATTTTTTCCTGAGCTTCCTGCTCTTCCTCTTCAGAGACCCCTGCTTCTTTGTTAAGAAGGTGGTGTGTGCATGCGTGTGTGCGTGCGTGCATGTGTGTGTCTGTCAGACTGGTGCGTGGCCCAAGCCACCTTAGATGACTGTCATGTGCAGGGCAGCCTTCTCCACTGGGGACAGCATCATACACACTCCTGTGTGGACAATGTAAGAGGAGGCCTAGAACCCATTGCCTTGTAGGAAAGAGTCCAACTTGTTACTTGATGACCCCACTCTTGGTCGGGAAATGGAGTTGTGGTTTGGAAGAAAGCATGGAGTAGGGCCAAGTTGTGACTGCGCCCTCAGATTTTTTCCTTAGGGGAGCATCAGGGAGGCCTAGAGGAGCCAACAGACTGGCTGGGGGCAGCCTTTCAGCTGCATTGTGGTTTGGCCAGAAGACAGTCATCTCCACTTTAAGTTTCCATTTTATCTGGCTGAGGACTCAGAGTCCTGTTAGAACCAAGATGGCTGCCCAGCACACAGGACAGGAGCAGGCAGTGTGTTTCAGTGTAGCATCTTGCCTTCTAGAGTCCCTGAAGGCAGCTGCTGCTGACATTGTCCATGCAGGACAGGGGCTTGCCACCTCTAGGAAGCTTTGTTTCCCCACTCTGCACAGCCTTTTAAGTCCAGTCTGTGAGAGTTGCATGAAAAATCTGGGTGATTGTTTTTGCACACATCCGTTCTCATGGTTCTCTTGAATTTGGCCAGCCACATTCTCATCTAAGGGGGACAGTGAGTCAGGCACTGAGAGTTTGTCTCTAGTTTTCCAGCCTTCCTTTCTGAAAGCTCACTTCTCTGCACTTTGCTATTCCTTGATTCCAGTTTAATGGCTTGTTTTATATATTAGTTTGTTTGTTTGTTTTTTGAGACAGGGTCTCACTATGTAGTTGAGACTGGCCTGGAACTCACTACGGGCGTAGCCCAGGCTGGTCTCGAACTCACAGTGATCCTCTTGCCTCAGTCTCCTGAGTGCTGGGATTACAGGTATGCGCCACCACGCCCGACTTTATATATTAGTTGAGGGCTCAGTCACAAATTCACTTCTCCACTGTTGGTCACCAGGTCTTTGTTTACTGCATATTACAAGAATCCTCGAGGCACCACAAAGATGTTCTGGAACCTTCTGGGGCTGACTCATTTTAGTCAGCTCTTCTCCTACACACTTAGCGCATCTGTTGAGAGTTTGCTGGGGTTGTCAAGGGCACGGGGAGCTAGATATATTGAGGAGAGAAGCCTGAGTCAGTTCAACTAACATTTACCTACACTCCAAGTCCAGTGTCAGGCCAGGGGCTGGAGGAGGAGGTGAAGACACGGATGAAAAAGAGTGTCTGCCAGGAGAGCTTCTAGCCCCAGAGGGAGACAGACACACAGATGGTTGCCATGGAATGTGACAAGTGCCACGATGCTCCTGAAAACCCCAGGGAGGTCCGAGCTCTCTCTAAGTGTGTATAAGGTCAAGGAGGAGAGAGAAGCTCCAAGCAGCCACTGCACACACTGCATGAAGGCAGCGTGGGTGGGAGGACCTGGGAACCATTCTTCCACACGAAGAATAGGAGTGGGAGTGTGGGGGTGGCAGACAGGGCCTTGTCTAGGAGCAGTAGTTGAGTTGGGTAGGGGTCTGGGTTGCTTGACGGGGTTTGGGCCAAGGGTCAGACTTGAGTCACTCCAAGGGCCAGAGAGGATGTAGGGAGGACAGGGCAGTGGGGCCGGAGAGAGTGGAAGAATGAGGCCTGGTGGATGCTGGTCCCCTTCATGGATATGGGGAACTTGGGAGTTAGGGCAGTTTAGCGGGGGAGAAGGAAGGAGTAAGCTCTGAATTTAAACTTCCCTCCACTTTGCGCTTTCCCTATTGTGTGGCTATCTTGGATTCTGAAGTTTGTACAGGGGAAAGGGGATGGAGGTGAGGAGCAGAGTCTGGAGGGCAGGGGATCCAGTCTGTGGACCAGTCTGTGGAAGGTTGGTGATTGGTGATGGGTCGTGCCCGCTCCCTGGCCCTGCAGGCTTAGCTGAGGGGCCTCACCCCGCCAAGTTCCTAGAGTGCCTCTGGCAGGTGGGCACAGGGGAGTCCTGCTGCCTCGTGACTGATAGCTGGTGCACGGGCAGGCAGGGAACCCCGGTGGAGGATGTGCTCCAGGAGGTCCAGGGGAGAATGCTTGTCTTTGTGCCAAGTGCCCGGCCCTGGGCCACTGATTTCTTCAGGGTCATCTGAGCCTGGTAGCAGTGTTGGTGTGTGTGAGTGTGGGTAGGTGTGTGTGCTCACCCACCCGTGCAGGTGGACATGAGCTTCGAGGGCCCGTGTGGGTGCCTGTGTGGTGCCGTTTTTGGCTTTAGCAAGTTCCTATGGAAACCACGAACATGTCTGTTTTGGGATCTGAAGTCTGGGGCGTGAGTCGCTACAGAGAGAAGCAAGGCAGGCGGGTGCTTAGCTGGCATTGGGGCTGTGGCCTGATTTCATCGCCAGGCATTGGGGACACACCTGGAGGTGCCATTTGTCAAGTGGTGAGGTCTGCAAATTCTAGATACCTGTGTGTCCCTGGCCTTTGTCCTGGCCCAATCTACCATGCCCAGGAAGCCTTGGTGAGTCCCTGTTCTGATTTCTGGGTGGGTAGACAGCTGCCTGGGACTTGACCAGGTCTGGTGGGTGTCTGTTGATTGGCAGGCGGGGAGCAGCTGGCAGGGAAGAGCCTAGGGATTGGGCTCTTCTGAGATGGGTATGGGATGGTGGGCAGGAGGGGATCTGCTTATTCCTGGAGCCCTGTGAGGGTGTTTCCACATGATGGTGGAGCTGGGAAGCGGAGTGGGACAGGGCTGACTGTGTTCCCGCAAGGGCAAGGGCAGGGTGCAGGAGCGGAGAATGCAGATGTGCCCGCCTGTGGCCCACCAGCCCCGGCCCACCCATGCTGGGGATTCCCTCCCCCATTCAGCTCACTGATTCGTGTGGACCCTTAGGTGTCTGGCCGTGCTCCTGAGCTTCCTACAGGGCTTCCGGGTCCAGAGCCTCATCAGAGTCCTATGGAAGAGGGGGCTGGAGGACTCTGGCCCTCTCCCGAGAGCCTGGGAAGAGTTACTGCTACTGAGCCTTGAGGAAAAGCGCTTGATTCCCCAGACGGTGCATCCTTTACACCTCTTGTCCACACAGTCTAGGCCTGGGTGTGATGTCCCCTCCACAACTGCTGTCAGAGAGGCTCCTGAGGGGCAGGGGCCTGGGCAGCACTCCAGGGCCCCGCGGAGGTGAGTGGTGCCTTCTACCCCTTCCTCCTGTGCACTCCTCAGGGTCAGGGGTGAAGCGTTGGGATGGATGTGGACGGCCCCTGGGCTCCGCAGAGATGCTCCCTCTGCCTCTGAGCAGGCCTGGGGTTACACGGCAGGAGTTACTGTTTCTGGCTGTGGGCTGTGGTTCTTGTGAAGGCCCAGGGGAGCAAGGGAGTGGATGCTCTCTGCTTTGTCAGGACCATTGAGACCTTCTCTCCCTGGAAGGCAGAGTCCGGAGCCTAACCCCTGACAGCTTTCCTTAGGAGCCCTGGAGAGAGGGCCAGGGCTGGAGTCCTTAAGTATTAGGGCCACTGTGTGAGTCTCCTGTGCCCCTGAAACTGGTCATTCAGCTCTACCTCTGGCAGTAGGGAGCTCATTATATTACCTTCCAAAGATGCCTGTTGTATTGCAGTACAGCCCTGCTTGCTGAAAGCTGACCATTGTTTTCATGCGGAATTTCTTAGACCAACCCTGCCCTTTGACCCCCTAAAGCCCACTCCTAAACAAGGTTGATTCCCCTTTCTCCTGAGGATCATTCAGACATTGGAAGGTGGCTCTTGTGCCCTGAGTCTTCTTTCTTCTTCTGGCTGGCCATCCCTGGACCCTTCAGTTGTATTTGGTATTCCTCAGTGCTTAGGCTCATCTTTGTTGGAAGGTTCAAGTTTCCCACACAGCCCGTGGGAGCCCCACAGACACAAGGATGGACAGCTAGAGGTCATGCTTGAGCCTCCTCAGTAGAGGTCGGTGAGCTGAGACACAGCAGGAGGGTGGTGGATGTGGAGGATAGGCTGTCTGTCTCTGTGCTGTTTCTGATGTACTGGTCTCAGTTTTTTCCTGCTTCTCTGTCAACTCCATCTTTGCAGCTTTCCAACTCAGGACCTCGTCTCTTCTTTGTGAAGACAGAGCCGAGTGTCCACAGGGATCCAACCTTGGGAAGGGGCCCTAGGCACTTGTCTAGAATGACCTGACAGAGCTGGGGAATGCTGTGCCCTTTATAGAGCCACTGGAAATCCGGAGTTTCAGGTAAAATCATGACAACAAACTCAACAATTTAAAAAACAACTGTGTGTGGGGCCCAGCTTCAGGCCAAATTCAGCCCATGGGGTCACCCATGTGCCACCTCTGCTCTGGACATGCCATCCCCTTCAGTCCCAGCTCATCTTTCTCTGCAGCTGACTCCCAGATCTATCTGCCCAGGTCACCTCTTCCAGCTGCTCTCATCCCCCACATCACTGTCTGCTCCTTTCCGGCTCTGTTCCCAGACTGCACCCCTCTCAATTAACCTTTCTTTCAGATCCAGTTCTTCCTCTATCACTGGGTTGAGAAATCTCTGAGTCATAGGGGGTTGATCCTCCTGCCTCCTGGTTCAGGCCCATTATCTCCTGCTCCAGACAGTGACAAAGGCCTTCTAATTAACCTCCTCCTCCAGCCTCTGCCAGTTCTAACTAATTTGTCATCCCTAAGGCCAGCTCCAGCTCTGCTCTCCTGTTTCTAGGAGCCTGATCCATGGCAGACCTCGTGAGTGCTGATTACACACCGGCTTGTTGTTCCCAGGATGCTGGGATGGGGACAGCCAACACCTTGCCAGTGGGGGCTGGGCAGTCCAGGTTGTGTGTACCTCCCAAGGACTTCGTGTAATGGCATGCGCATCCATTGTCTTTGGAGCCACAGTAAATACTTCAATGTCTGCTCGCTCCCCCCACCCCCGTCTCTCTCTCTTTTAGTTGGTACCAGGGATCCAACTCAGGACCTTCCACTTTCAAGGCAGGCGGTGGCACTACTGAGCTAAATCCCTGGCCCAGTCCCTGCTCTTTTCTCCAAGACAGTGGTTCCCATACTTTTCTGTGCTTAGTATAATCTGGTGGAGAGAAGCCTTTAAAAATTCAGGTGCCCAGGTTGTACCCAATTCCGGTGAAATCGAAATGTCTGGGCGTGAACAACCCAGCATCTGCACTTTCTAAAGGCCCCCAGGTGATTCCAGTGTGCTGTAAAGTCGGAGAACCATGGTCCAAAGGGACAGACAGACAGACAGGTGTGATGCTTGTTGATGGGGCAGTTGGCGCTTGGAGGTTCACATGGACTCTGGGTGGGGAGAGTTGCGCCAGGCCAGGTTTGGATGGTTACTCTGGGCTGGATGATTCCATGTTGTCCTGTGCACTGTAGGATGTTTACCAGCAACTCTGGCCTCTACCCACCAGGTGCCAGCAACTCATTTCCTAGCTGTGATAACGAAAGATATCTCCTGATATTGCTGAACTTCCGGGACAATGGCATAACATCCTTATGTGTGTATGTGTGTGTGTGTGTGTGTGTGTGTGTGTGTGTGATTGATTGATTGATACTGGGTCTTGAACCTGGGCCTTATGCATGAGTTACATCCCCTTTTAAAACTTTTTAAAATTTTGAGACAGGATCTTGCTAAGTTGCTGAGTTGTCCGGGTTGGGCTTGAACTTGTGAGTTCCCTGCTTTAGCCTCTGAGTGCCAGGACTACAGACCTATGCCACCTCACCCAACTAAATGCCTTTATAGCATTCTCAGATATGCTCAGAAGAAAAGTTTACCAACTTAGTGGTCACTTTGGGCTCTGGAGTCAGCAGCATCTGTTTAAAGTGCAACTAACCTAAGGCAACTTATTTAACCTCTCTGTGCTCAGCCAGTTTCTAGTTCTGTTTTGTTTTCTTGAAACTGAGCCTCCTTTAGCTCCAACTGGAAGGTAGATCTTGCCTCTGTTGCCTGGCACTTCGGTCCTCGCCTGTGCAGGTTGCCTGCAAGACATGCGTTTATTCTCCCTCCCTGTGCAGCCCTCCTGCCCCTTCTTCCAGGACCAACTTAGAAGTGCTTCCTTTTGCATGCTCCGCACTGCCTCCTTCCAGCTCCCAAAGCTGCAAGAGCGCCAGGGCTTGTAGTCACTTCTCCTGTGCTGTGGTGGTTGGGTGGTTGCTGTCTGTGTTCCTCTCCCCTGTGGGAAGTCTGAGCCTTTGGGAGCCTCTGAGTGTCCCGTACCATTTGTCACTGAGGTGAGGTGGTTGTTCCCTTCCTGCCTTGGGCCGTGCACCGGCAGGTTACCGCAGTGTGAACCCTCCACCCCATGCCCAACTCATTCTGAGAGGGTGGGGTGTGCGGAAATCCGTGCCTGGCAGGCCACAAAGCCACATAACTGACTTTAGGGCCCTGCCCTGGGGGAAGTGTGTGATGGCAGCCACTGTCCCTCTCTTAGGTGCTTTGCTGCTAGCAGATCCTGTTTGGAAACGAGGAGCTTTGAGCTAAGGACTTTCCCAGGCCCATTTCTGAGCTTAGGAGCAGGGCTTGGGAGGGGCAGCCCCCATCTCCATCCTGCCATGACGTGTTTAACGTTGGTCAGCTGGATCCTGCTCTCGGGAGTGCAGACCTGTTCGTGGGTCTGGTTTAAAATAAAGCTTCTGGGGCCCCATTTGAGGGATTCTGCTTCATCGGGCCTGGGTGGGGCCCAGGAAACGTGTGTGTACTAGGGCTGGAGGTTTTGCTTCTGATGTAGCTGGGCCGCAGCTGCTGGGAACCGGTCTATTTAAAACACTCCTCCCCACAATGAAGATTCACTAGTTGGGTTTCTGTGTGCTGGATGACCTTGGGCAAGGCACACAGCCTCTCTGTGCCGTAGTTTCTTTACCTGGGAAGAATAATAGTGATGACACCTGGGTACTATTGTTGTGAGGTTTAAAAGAGATAATGCAGGGGAAGCATGAAGCACAGGCTGAGCACAGGATGCTTGGGAAATGCTACCTCCCTCATCATTTCTGAGGTTATTAGTGATGGTCCAGGGCTATATGACATTCCTGCATACCTGCCAGTGAGCTTGTGTATATCCCTTGGGCGAATTCCACATGGGAACCATGTGCACCCAGACCCAAGTCTGCCTCCTGAGATGTGTGCATACGTGTGACACAGTCTCTGGAGAGGCGTGAAAACACGGGCAGGTGTAGATGTACACAGATCTCATCGGTCAGGGCTTTTCTTTTGCTCGCTCACTGGTATTATTCCTGGAGTTAGCAGCACCTGGGCTGAGCTCTGGGAGCCCAAGGTGCCCCGTGTTTCCATGGCAACTACTGTGCAGTTAAAAACGGGGAGAAGGAGGGAGGAGATAGAAAACCCTGAGTCAGTTTCTAGCTTCCAGGGACATCCGCCCTGCTGAGGGCCTTGTTTCCTCATCGTCTGTACTGAGGCTCTTTTTGACTTTTTTTTGGTACCAGGGATCAAACTCAGGACCTTGTGCTTTCAAGGCAGGCTCAGTGCTACTGAGCTCAATCCCCAACTCTGGCGTTTTTTAAAAAACGTAATGATATGGCTA